AGACAAGAAGGTGGATCAACCACCTCAAGCCAAGAAGGCCAAAGTGAAGACGACCACAGTGGACCTTCCCATTGAGAACCAGTTGGTGTGGCAGATAGGGAAGGATATGCTCAACTTATTCATTGAGAATGAGGTAAACTCTTACTTGACCAAGCTAAAAACGTTACTAGTTGGTCTCCAGAAATGTTGGTGTTCATTAAACAAGGTTAAGGCTGATCAAGAAAAGGAAAAGGAATAAAACATGCAGTTAAAATTCTGATGTGAACAGCACTGCCCCATGGAGGCAAAATACATTCCTCCTGTTCAGTGATGCTGTAACTCTCACTAAAGAGCTGTTCTGCAGGAAACCTCCAAAATCACCTGCAGTTACAAGGTGCAGGTGGCCCGTCAGGTGAAGGTTTCTCAGCTGGAGCAAGATTGTTCGGTTCTGTTTTGGATATTGCACCAAAACTCAAATTGATTTTTATTCATGTACTGTGTTAGAACAGTTCTGTAAATTACAATATTGCAAAATCTTTTTCAAACTTAAGCCTTTTCTCGCAAGGTGTCCTGACAATAAATATTAAATAATTAGCTTTTTAGCCAACTAATTTGACAACTTGTTCACAGGGTAAGATGATAATGCAGGACAAGCTGGAGAAGGAGAGGAATGATGCCAAGAATGCAGTGGAAGAGTATGTGTATGAAATGAGAGACAAACTCTGCAGTGTTTATGAGAAATTTATTGGTGAAGATGTGAGTACTGCTGCTGGATTGTCCTTTGATATGTTGTGTTACAATGAGCAGTTGTAGTTAATAACTTTTGACCTGTATCACACACTGTGCTTACTTATATATTCAGACTTTTAAATTTGAAGAAATAACTTGTAACCTTTCTGGCTCTGAAGATAATCTGCTAAATGGGGCTCAGGCACAAACCACTGGTTCTCTTCCAAAACAGTTGCAGCAATTAAGATGGTATCAGGGTGTGTTTCCAGACTAGGAGCCCTTGCACAATCATTTTAGGACAACCTGTTCTATTTTGGCTCTTTGTCAGTATTTAGGATAGTTTAAAAAAATTAAGACAGAGCAGCCCTACCCAGGAACATAATAGGTGGGATTAGTCTGACTAAATGTGGGCATTTGTATCTGGACTGGTTGCCTAAAAACCTCTTGGCATTATTAATCAGCTTTCCCTGTTGTACCGAAGAGCTGGGTGTGTAATTAATATAATTCCAGCAGGATGAATCACTGGACTCCTGACTGGATCTCCATTGATTACAGTGGAGCCTTGCCAGCCAGGTGTCTGCAGAGCCCAATACCCACATCAGAGCCCAAACTGGGACATGTCAGGTGACATTTATGGCATCTTAGCTAAAGATAAGTTTCACTCTGTTCTCAGACTTGCTCATATAGTGATGATGAAAATGGGAAGGGGAAAAAAAAAGCCTTCTATGTAACAGTATTGATCTAAACTGTCGGTGTCACAGATGGTTCTTTCTTGAGCCTGGTCTTCACCACAAAGCCATACAAAAGAATATTTTGTTTCTTTAGGATAAAGAGTTTCAGACAGAGTTTTTTGGGTTCTAAAAATATTACTCTTCCAGAAAGGTTCCAAGTATCATTTAGTGTCATCTGTCATCTAATAAATTATCTCACCATCTATTTTGTATGGGTTGCTTCAGGATCGGAATAGCTTCACACTGAAGCTGGAAGATACAGAAAATTGGCTTTATGAAGATGGTGAAGACCAGCCCAAACAAATATACATTGATAAATTGACAGAATTGAAGGTAAGTGGTTCTTACATTCCCATGGGAATTTACTGAAGCTGGAGAACTTTGTTGCAGTGAGGAGCTGTTGGATCTGCTGGTTTGGAGGTGAGCACTGGTGACAAACTGCTTGGTTTGCTTTTTAATTATGCAAGGAGCAGCTCTCAACAGACCTGTAACAACACAGGGTTGAGGGAGGCTCAGTCTTCCCTGTAATTGTAGAGAAGAGTCAAGAGTTCCAAGGAATTTAGAAACATTGGTGTATCCTGTCAAACCTTGCGGGATCCCATAGTAATGCTCCATGGATTTTGATACCTTTTGTGCTTTGTTTCAGACTCTGGGTCAGCCTATTCAGGCAAGATTCCAAGAATCGGAGGAAAGACCAAAAGCATTTGAGGAGCTGGGGAAGCAAATCCAACAGTACATGAAAGCTGTTCACGCATACAAAGCAAAGGTATTTCCACACTTAATTTCTGGAAAATGTAAGGAAATGGTACAGATCTTGCCTGAATTTTAGGTAAGCTGCTTCAGACAAAAAGCTGGTGCAACTTCCTGGCGAGCTTATGAGTGTTTAATAGTTTTTTCATAAGTGGATGTTGGCTTGCAAGCCTGAGTCTCTTTTTTTTTTTAATTAGGTGTTGATTTCCTCTTGGAGGGAGAATGCCAGCAGCATTAGAACTTCAGGTCTCTGGTTACAGAGCTGTGGGTGATCAGCTCAGTTCCTCTGCTAACCAGAACAGCCTCCTGGCTCAATGGTCTTTAATATTTTGAAGCTAAAAGTCTGAAGAAATAAGGGTGCAGTTTGTGCTCAAACATTCACAGAGCTGCTCCTGCTTTGGCTGTTTCAGGATGAACAGTACGAGCACCTCGATGAAGCCGACATGGCAAAGGTGGAGAAGAATGCAAATGAAGCCATGGAGTGGATGAACAATAACCTCAATCTGCAGAACAAGAGAAGTCTTACTTTGGACCCAGTTATAAAAGCGAAAGACATCCAGGCTAAAACTAAAGTAAGTTTTTCTACATAAATCACTGTATCTCCATGAATTTTTCTGCTTACTGGTCTAGGTTTTGTGCTCAGAAAATACTGAGGTAAGAAATCTCAAATGTATTGGGGAACATCAACCCTCAACTTGAATATCCCACTGGTGCTGTCAAAAGTTAAAGTACAACTGTGCGAAGGTAAAAACATTTCTAACAATGTTTTATTTCTGTGTTTTGTAGGAATTGGCAAATATTTGTAATCCCATAGTCAGCAAACCCAAACCCAAGGTGGAACTGCCGAAGGAGGAGCAGAAGCCGACAGAACCCAACGGACCAGTGGACGGGCAGGGAGATGCCAGGAGCGGGGCCCAGGCCCCCGAGCAGGGCACTGCCCCCACAGCCACCGAGAAGAAGCTTCCAGAAATGGACATTGACTGAATTTCAGCACTTGTTTATATTATTGCAAACTACAATAAAGCTTTAAGTTGTCAACTTTGTATGTTCTGAATCCAAACTGAAGCAAGCGAATCCCACAGCGCTCTTGGTAACTCCTGGAGAGGTTTGGGCAGGGCAGCAGGTCAGAACACAGAGGTAGCAAAGGACTCGCTCAGCTCAGCAGTGTTTGCCGTTATTGATTGTATTTAGAAGTTTTGGTAGTTTAACTAGCCCTATAGGAACAGCCATAACCTGCTTCTCCATTTTTAATGTCCAGGGTGTCTCAACCTTCCTTTGAAGGACAGCGACAGCAACGCCTGGAGTCTGATGTTCACATTGCTCTTCCCTTTCCCTGGGGATTGCAGGAGCTGGGACTGCAGGGAGGGAAGGGGAGAGCCCGAGGTGGAGTCTTCCATTGCCTGTGTTTTAGTGTTCATGCCTGCTCTGGACTCACTCTGATTTGCACTGGAACAGTTGATGGTTACAGGAGGTTTGCAGAGCAGTGGGTGGTTCATCGGCACCTTTATTCCTTAGCCCAGACTTCGGATCAGACTCTGAATGTGCTCCTGGACATGGAATTGGGTTTCTGGCAAACTCCCCAGCTAATTAGGCCCTGTAAACTCTTTGTCTCTAGTTAAATTAGCCGCTTTTAGAAAGAGTGAATTCTTGTATTTCAGCTGCCTACGCTGATAGTTGATTCTGACTTGTTCCTAATTTTTTCTGGCAGGGGTATGCTTGCTTCCACGAGGCCTTCATTTGGAATGCTTGGTTTTTTGGTTTGGGGTTTTTTTTCCAGGAAAACCAAGAAGTGATGGATTTGGCTTTTTTTTTTTTCTATGAGCTTTATACAATGATTTGCTTCTAGTACTGATTGTTATTAAACTTGCAAACATTAATTTGTATGTGTTAAAATCCAAAGCTGAAAAAACACTCATTCAGTTATTGCAAGAAATAAATGCACTGGATTCTACTGGATCACCTTCTCCAGCTGTTGATTCCAATAGAGAGAGGATGGGGTCGGGGTGGATGGAAGGGCTGTGTCCCTCCTTACTGGAGCGCGCAGGGAGCTCTCCCGGGCTGCACCGGGGCTTTAAGGCTTCCATGCCCCCGGGGATTTGGCGGGGTGTCTGTAATCACAGAACCACGGAATGACTGGGGTTGGGAGGGACTTCTGGAGTCCAACCCCCCCTGCCCAGGCAGGGTAACCTGGAACAGGAGCCACAGGAACGAGTCCAGGTGGGTTTGGAATGTCTCCCGAGAAGGAGACTCAACGCCCCCCTCCTGGGTAGCTGTTCCAGTGCTCTGTTACCCTCCACGGGAAGAAATTTTTCTTCGTGTTGAACTTGAATGTATGAATGTAAAGAAGCTGATGGATCGGGGGGCTCGGTACCCGTTCCGTGCCTGTCTGGGGCAGGGAGGGGGCGGCCGTTCCCT